GTGATTTCCAGAAGACCCAGAGACCAAAACGAATGTAACTAAAAAGTTCAAAGGAGATGATCCTGGTTTAATCTTGGCAGCACCTGCATCTTTAGATGTCAGTATGCAGCCACCACATTACGGCCCTGTTTAGAAGGTGTATAGGCCACATGTTCTTGGCTTAATTTTGTTCTGTTATTTAAGTAAAGTATACATCATGCAATCTCTAGGACACCCAAGGACAGGAAACCAAGTACTGCCAAGTCATATGGATGCTTGAACTGAACAGTAAGGAACCAGGGTTTCTGCCTATCTCTTATGGCACTACATAGTCCCTCATATCTGCTTCTTATCTCTACTCTGCTTTGCAGCTAGTCTATAACTTCATCTTACATGTGGCTTTAATTATCACCCTGACTCTGATCTTATAGCAGGTTGCTTATCCCAAATTCCTGACTTTACTTTGTGGGGCATTAGTACTTCAACTGGTAAAATGCTTGGGACCTGGCAAAGCCGGTCAAATAGGTAACGACATGGTCAGGTTTGCAACGTAGAAAGACCTTTGGTAGTTCTGGAGGACAGATTTGAAGGGTAGAGCTTGGAGGCAAAGAACTAGCAAGGTAGATGCTATATTAAACCAGTGGAGAGATGATCTGAAGGTTAGCTAAAAACCAATATTGAAACAGCAAGTAAGTACTTTAGGTTACGAATTCTGCTCAGTTTCAGTGATGGCTATTTTTTTTTTTTATAGATTTTATTTTTCCTTTTTCTCCCCAAAGCCCCCCAGTACATAGTTGTGTATTTTCAGTTGTGGGTCCTTCTAGTTGTGGCATGTGGGATGCTGCCTCACCATGGCCTGATGAATGGCGCCATGTCTGCATCCAAGATTCAAACCGGCGAAACCCTGGGCCGCTGAAGCAGAGCGCGCGAACCCAAGCACTCAGCCATGGAGCCAGCCCCAGTGATGGGTTTTGCCACTAAAGTTAATCTGAACCATTGATGTTAGTTCAGCCCAATAACCCTTCAATCCCTCCCTCCCACCCACTGTTGCTGGAGCATCTTTCTAAGGCATAGTTGTCACAACATTTTGGCTGCCTCAAGTTCCCGCTCCCCATTTATTAAGACTGGGGATCTCCAACTCATTTTTTTTCTCTTGTCTCATAATTTTCTCAAGGTTACAGGGGACAATGGCATATAAGACTTTGCATTCATCTTGGAATCTTCAGTCCCCAACACAGCAATCAGAATATATTGGGTATTTATAAAACATCTGTTCCTTTGAGTTTTAAAAAAATTGTGCTAAGTCCAATTCATTCTTTTAAACTTTTAAAATCAAATTTTTGAAATGTAACTTACATATAATAAAATGCACCTATTTTAAATTACTGTTCGATGAGTTTTGTCAAATGTATACTACTGTAATCACTATCCCAAATCAAGATACAGAGCATTTCTATCACCGCCCCAAATTCCCTTGTGCTTCTATTATACTCCTCTATTATATTCTAATACTATTCCTCACATTTTATTGTAATAATTTGTTTAACCTGTTCCTCTCTCCCTAAATTTTGGGCAACTTGAAGACAGAAACTCCACCTTTTTATCTTTACCACCTGGCAATACAGTGCCTGACACACAGTAGAATGATGAGTTAAACGTTAATCTGAGTTCTTACTGTGCACCCACTACTGCTCTAAGCTCCTTACTAAGCATTTTTCACAACAACCATATGGGTCAGGTACTATTATTATCCCAACATTCAGATGAGGAAACTAGGGTACAGGAAGGTAGACACCTATCCAAGGTCACATAGCTCATTACTAAACTTCTCTTGTCAAAGAGAGTGCAGATATTCTTCTCTCCACAGCTTTCGCTATTGCTCTTCCACTTAGTCAACTGCAGAAATCCTCATCTCTTCTTTTACTATGGATGCACCAAATTACTTCTGCTATCTGAACCGTTACTATATCTCCTTTTCTCCCATTCACCAAGCATGTATTGAATGCCTTATCAATCCATGCAGGTATCTAATCTCAAAGAAATTGGGTGGAAGACAGTAACATGTGAACAACTAAAAAAAGAGGGCAGAATATGTTAATTTTCATAGGTGGACGATTACAAAGGATTGCTAAAGCAGTTCTTTCTTGAAGCTGTCTCTCTTAGGTTTACTTTTCCTTTCCATCTCTGAAGAAGTCATCATTTCATAACCAAATTATTAAAAATACCTTCTAGTTACTTTGAAGGAGTCTCTTTCCCATGCAGAACGGTCTATGTTCCCCTGCCAGGCTGCATCATTGCTCATTCCATATAGAATTATTCTGTTTAAAGATCTGTAACTCCCTGCTCAGCTTTCAAGGCCTTCTACATGCTGCTCCCACCAAACTATTCAATCCTATCTCCCACAACTTTGAGATAAGACCTCCACTATTCCAGCCAGGACTAAGAATCTCCTTTGAGTACCATTCTAATTTGTCTTGCTGTGCCTTTATACTTTTCCTAATATATTGAAATTTATGAATTTTCAATATAATGCCATTAGTCCCAACAATTCTGAGAGGTGAAGGGTAGACAGAAGAGAAGAAAGAGATAAGAGTCTCTTTAAAAGATCTTGAGATGGGGAGGTAGTTTGAGCTGAGGCTCTCTATCATTCTCTATTGCAGCAGGCTCCTGGAAAGTCCCATTTGGTAGAGCTTCTGGCCACAAATTCAGGCTTGTTCTCAAGGCATATACCACTGCTCTACACTTGTCAAGTGTGGGAACAGCTAACTGGTGGTGGCCAAATGAGCTACAGTGCCAGGCTGAGGTTAGCTTTGGTGCAAAACTGCTTGGACACGCAAACACTAAAAGCTATAATCTTATTTGATATGATTAAGGGAGCATTGCTAGTTTTTTTTTAGGTATAATAATGGTATTGAGGCATTTGTTAAAAAGATAAAAAGACTAGAAAAAGAAGAACAAACGATGCCCCAAATCAGTAGAAGGAAGGAAATAATAAAAATCAGAGTAGAAATAAATGAAATAGAGACCAAAAAGACAACAAAAAGGATTAATGAAACTAAAAGCTGGTTCTTTGAAAAGATAAACAAGATTGACAAACTTTTAGCTAGACCTACTAAGAAAAAAAGAGAGGCATCAAACAAATAAAATCAGAAGTGAAAAAGGAGAAATTACAATCAATACCACAGAAATACAAAGGATTATAAGAGAATACCGTGAAAAGCTATATGCCAACAAACTGGATAACCTAGAATAAATGGGTAAATTCTGAAATTATACAGCCTTCCAAAACTGAATCAAGAAGAAAGAGACAATCTGAATAGACCAATCACTTGCAAGGAGATGGAAAGAGTAATCAAAAACCCCACAAAAAAAAACAAAGAAAAACAAAGATCTAAAACCTATCCTTCTCAAACACTTCCTAACTCATTTTATGAGGCCAACACTACCCTGATACCAAAATCAGACAAGAATGACAAATAAAAATTATAGGCCAATATTACTGATGAATATAGATGTAAAAATCCTCAACAAAATATTAGCAAATTGACTACAACAATACATTAAAAGGATCATACACCATGACCAAGTGGGATTTATTCCAGGGATGCAAGGATGGTTCAACATCTGAAAATCAACCAATGAATGTGATACACCACATTAACAAAATGAAGAATAAAAATCACATGATCATCTCAACAGATGCAGAGAAAGCATTTGACAAGATTCAGCATCCATTTATGAAAAAAACTCTCAATAAAATGGGTATACAAGGAAAATACCCCAACATAATAAAACCTATATATGACAAACCCACAGCTAACATCATATTCAACAGTGAAAAATTGAAAGCCATTCCTCTTGAGAACAGGAAGAAGACAAGTATGCCCATTCTTACCATTCTTGTTCAACATAGTATTGGAAATCCTAGCCAGAGCAATTAGGCAAGAAAAAGAAATAAAAGGGATGCTGCAAGAAATACAATACTAGGCAGAGAGGAAAAATTTCCATTCCCTTTAATATTTCTGTATATATCCAAGTCCATCAGCCAAGGGTAGAGCTAGCACTTAAACTCAGGTTCTCAGACTCCCTTCCTTAGCTGGTCTGAGGGAACTTGCTGTGGTAACAGCCTGCTTGCTTTCCAGTCCCTTTAATATTTCTGTATATATCCAAGTCCATCAGCCAAGGGTAGAGCTAGCACTTAAACTCAGGTTCTCAGACTCCCTTCCTCAGCTGGTCTGAGGGAACTTGCTGCGGTAACAGCCTGCTTGCTTTCCAGTCCACCAGTGCTACTCAAGGCAGAAACTTATCCAGCAGCCATCAAGGGAGAAGAGCTGCTCCTCTTCTTTACTACGCAGGTATTAAATCTTTTCCTAGCTGTTCCTCTCAAAAATCCTTGAGATTAACCATAAAAGGAGGTTTTCTCCCTGGAAACCAAAGTCCTGTGATCTGTCAGACAGTCTCTGGAAAGTATTTAAGATCCACAGTTCTGTTCTCAAAGCAAAATCAGAAAAAGTACCAAATTTTGTTTCTTTGCGTTCATGAAGGTTCACTCAGTGAGGTGGACATCGTTTCCAAAATTGGAGGGAAACTTGCTCTTTTTTTCCCCCCTCCCCTTGGTTAGGTCTCTGTCCCTTTGCTAAGAGAGCTCATCTATAGGATAATTGCCTAGGGGCATGACACCTGCTTAGAGACAAACAGCACTGGAGCTGGGGAGCTCATCCTTGCAGAAGGAAGTAAGAAGAGGCTGGAACCGTGTAGAAAGAGGCATTACTATTAGTTTTACAAAAATATTTTGCTGTTTTATCATAACACAGGCCTCCAAAATACAAGCAGGGGACTCTGGTGCAGACAAAATAACAGTATAAAGAGAACATAATTCCATTCCTAAAACAAAGGTGAGAATCAACTGCATTGTTTACATAAATTGGGATCTAACATTATCAAGGTTTAAAATTGTTAACTAAGTCACAAGGTAGCTTGTTTAAGCACTGTGGCTTTGACTCTGCCTCCCTCTTACTTACTCATTTTCCATTAGGAAGTCCACAACGTATTTTTTCAAGCAATAAAGATGGGCGTCCACAAGGCCTGTGTGGAAACGTATTCTGGGGTGCCTGCAAAAAGAATAAGAGAGAAGGGGCTCACAATAGGGTAAAATGGGTTCTATCCTGTTATTAGGTAGTAGGCATTAGAAAGTTTATGAGGGTCAGAGCCATGCTGCCTCCACCCCACTCAGGGGAGACCACTATGGTGGATACCAGCTCTGATCCTACCACATAAAAGGGCTTCTCCTAGAGAAACCCTATCGCACAATTTATGAGGCTTTTAGGCTTCCAAAGACATTACACCAAAACTGGTGAGCCATCAAATCACTGATAAGCCACTTTCTTCTATTCTATCACAAATTCCTACCCACAATTCTTGTAACTAACATTTTCTTGCTTCTGCTCCAACTGCCCCACTTCCGGCAGGCTACACTTTAGCCATGCTTTCCTCCAGGATTTGGCCTGTATAGTAGTCCCCCTTATCTGCCATTTCACTTTCTGTGGTTTCAGTTACCTGTGATCAACTGAGATCTGAAAACATTCAATGGAAAATTCCAGAAATAAACAACTCATAAGTTTTAAATTGCGCACTGTTCTGAGCAGTGATGAAATCTCATGCCACCCTGCTCCGTCTCCCCTGAAACGTGAATCATCCCTTTGTCCAGCATATCCCATGCTGTACACTCTACCCGCCCATTAGTCACTTAGGAGGTGTCCAGGTTATCAGATTGGCTGTCGTGGTACTGCAGTGCTTGTGTTCAAGTAATCATTATTTTACTTAATAATAGCCCCGAAGCACAAGACTACTGATGCTGGCAATTTGGATATGCCAAAGAGAAGCCGAAAAGTGCTTCTTTTAAGTGAAAAGGTGAAAATTCTAGACTTAATAAGGAAAGAAAAAATTGTATGCTGAGGTTGCTAAGATCTACAGTAGCTTTTATTATAGTATATTGTTATAATTATCTTGTTTTATTGTTAGTTATTGTTGTTAATCTCTTACTGTGCCTAATTTATAAATTAAACTTTATCATAGGTAAGTATGAATAGGAAAAAACATAGTATACATAGGGTTCAGTACTGTCCGGGGTTTTAGGCACTCACAGACAAGGGGGGACTACTGTATTACTCCATTTTCAAAGATGATGAAGTAAAATTCTACAAATACTCTCTAACTCCCTACTCTTATTTATTCATCAGGACTTTCCCCAGATACACTTTCTCTAGGAAACCTTCACTGACAACCCAAGTCTGTGCTCCCACAACACTTGGTACCCACCTCTACCAGCTAACTTATCATATGGGAGGTTAACAGCCTATTTACTTGTCTCTCTCCCACTAGACTAAAAGTTCCCTGAGGGCAGAGATTTATCTTCATAGCCTTACCACTTAGCATTGTACCTCACACAGAGTAAAATGTTTAATAAATAGTTATTGAACAAACAAACAAAGGAACAAATTAGGTCAAATTAAGGCATTTGCCTAGTTGCTATCTATTTTAGTATGCCATCTTTGGTTTCGGTCTTAAGAAATACAACACATATAATTTATGTCCAAGGTCATTTTATTTAATAAAAACAGACAGCTGAGGGAGAGGAGGGGAGGGGAAGAGTAGAGTGGAAAAATGGAGATTCCAATGATAACTTCCCGGTTACCATCTTTCTTTTACTCTGTGTTACTTTGCTTTGACTGGCTCATAGTTTTAAGAAAAATTATTCTCATGGCACCTAGATATCCTAAAAATAATTTATCAAATAACTTACGGTGAACCACCCTGGGCTTCCACTCTTTTGGGAGAAGGAGAACAAAATGCTTCCAAAAGAACAACAGAGGAGTCAGACGGGATCCCACACCCATAACACACACACACACACACACACACAGACATGCCAATTAATGTATACAATGAGGATGAAGAAAAAAGTAGAAGGTACTTCCCAATCCTAACTTCCTGAGATTCTGTTTTTTTCCCTTCTTCTTCTCCCCAAAGCCCCTCAGTACATAGTTGCACATTCCAGCTGCAGGTCCTCCTGGTTCTGCCACGTGGGACACCCCACCAGCATGACCCCATGAGCAGTGCTACGTCTGTGCCCAGGATCCAAACCAGCAAAAGCCTGAGCCACCGAAGCGGAGTGCAACCACTTGGCCACCGGCAGGCCCCTGAGATTCTTGAGTTCTAAGAAATTCCTCAGGAAATAGAATTTTCCAAATGTGAATGTGGTTACTGTGTGGTGCCTGGGTTTCTTTCAAAGTCCACATCCTGATAATTCTCTCCCTTGATCTAACCAATTTGGAAAGCTGCACTCTCTTGTTCAGTCTCTTGGTTTACAAACTCCTTGAATCATTCTACACACTCTATCTATATTATTTAATCCTCACAAATACCTCATGAGGTAGATACATTACTCTCATTTTTATAGCTGAGGTCAACTTGTATTACACAATCAGGAAAGGAATAATTTAAATGTTTGAATAATCATTTTCTAAACTGTTATCAATCCCTAGCATACAAGTCATTAAGGTTCATTTAGCATTTTATAGTTTATAAATGTTTCTTCAGCTTTTTACTCTCATCCCATAAAGTAGGTAAAACAAAAATCATTGTAAGAAAAAATGTTCCAAAAATTTTGCTGGTATACTCAAGACTACAGATTTAGTTACAAATCTGGAACACAAGAAAGGGACACAGATGAGTAATTCAGAGATTTTTTTTCTTTCAGATTAAATTTGTAGTGAATATAAATCTTGGGACTGGGAGACTAATGGCATTTAACTTGTCAAAAAGGTGGTTTCCTTATTTCATTTTATTGTTTGTAAATGATATTAGAAATAAGGATGTTTTAAAAGAAAACAAACAAACAAAACCAAAAATTTCAAAGAGGCACCAGTAAAATCTGAGTAACTGGCTGATTGCTTGGGCCAGGAAGATGTTTTGGATTTGTATAAAATAGAGGAAGGAATCGGTAAATGGAAATTAATAAGACATTAATAAAAAATAACTGTAATTATCAATAAGAAATAGTTAAATTTTATGTTTTAAAAGATAATTTAAAACAACTTTCCAATCATAAAAAAGTCCATGCAATAAAAAATAATATACATGAAAAACCTGTGGGAGTCTTTTCAATGATAAAATAAAAATAAAAGCTCAGAGAAATGGTATAAAAAGTTTAATCTTCAAAGTGTATAAATCTTTGAAAAATTCCCACAGGTTTTTTATTCTTTCATCTAACATAAGCATAATTTTAAAAATGCTTTTAAAAAGAGCTATTAAAAAAGAGAAAAAGTGAGTGGAGAAGAAAAGAAAAGATCTTAGAAAAGCAGAACAGATAATGGACAAAGATAAAAAAGCCTAGGAAACCTAGGAGAAGATAAGCCATCAGGAACGTAAAGAATATCTTCAGGGTATTTTTGTAGACCTATTTTCAAAAGAGTAAGTCATAGATTTTAGAATTTGAATTTGTAATGTTTAAAATTTTGAGGGAAATATAGCGTATTTTTATGATCTTAAAAACAGGAATACCAGTTTTTAAAGCAAGGAATAAAACTAACAGGTGAAATAATTTTAACAATTATCATTATTTTTTAAAGATTTTATTTTTCCTTTTTCTCCCCAAAGTGCCCCCGGTGCACAGTTGTATATTTTCAGTTGTGAGTCCTTCTAGTTGTGGCATGTGGAACGCTGCCTCAGCATGGCTTGATGAGCGGTGCCATGTCCGCGCCCCGGATCTGAACCGGTGAAACCCTGGGCCGCCAGAGCGGAGCAAGCGAAACCAACCACTTGGTCATGGGGACGGCCCCTTAACAATTATTAATAATATTATTTTAGAAAAAACAAGGAATGTATACATGAAATACATACTGGGAAAGATGCAAGGATTAAGCATTTACTGTTTAACCACAAAGATCAATGGCTTTTAAAGCATCTTCAAGAAAGTCTTGAGCCTGTGAGTTCAGAATTTCTGTTGTCAATTTCATCTTATCCAAAGTTCTCTCCAAATTCTTTAATTTACCTCTTCTCTGGAATATCTGACTGCCAAGGTTCCTTTGGCTTCTGACAGCCCTGCAGTCTGGCTGTGGGTGAAGTGAAGGAGGGGCAGAGGGCATTGGCCTCAGAGTCCCACTTTGCTCTAGAGAGGCAACTATCGTATTTCCCTCCTTCCTCCACCCCTCTCATTTTGGCTTCTAGGTCTTCTGTCTGCTCTTTCACCCTGCTTCGCCATATCCTGGGCATTCATTTCCAGGATCAGTGTGAGTCTCCCTCCCCAGGAATTCTTCCTTTGCCAACCACTTTATTTATTTATTCGTTTATTTATTTTTTAAGATTGACACCTGAGCTAACAAGTGTTGCCAATCTTTTTTTGTTTTTTTGCTTTTTCTCCCCCAATCCCCCCAGTAAATAGTTGTATATTTTAGTTGTGGGTCCTTCTAGTTGTGGCATGTGGGACACCACCTCAACATGGTCTGATCAGCAGTGCCATGTCCGCACCCAGGATCTGAGCCGGCAAAATCCCGGGCCGCCGAAGCGGAGCGTGGGAACTTAACCACTCGGCCACGGGGCCGGCCCCCTGCCAACCATTTTAAATCATACTTAAAGAGATGTCTCCTAGAATAGCAACGGAAAAGATGGTATAGATGAAGTACTTGTGATTTTATTCTCAACTGTTCTTTTCCAGATGCACATAATGCAATCTAATGAGAAAGAGAAAATTCCTTCTGAAAAAATGCTTTCTGGGAGTCATTAGACTTAGGAATCTACCACAAGCATTCAAACATTTAGGAATGCAAACATGCATTCAACAACCTTTACTAACAGCCTAGTAATGGTAACAGGTGTTGTGCCAGATAAACAGATGAATAAGACAGATCTGCTCTTTGCCACAATATATATGTCATTTTTATGGTTGTTGAGGGCAGTTATTATGATTGGTAGTGTTAGTATAAACAGTAGCTAATAGTCTATCAAGGGAAGCAATTTCCTTTTAAAGATCTTCAAAGAGAATGTCTTGCTCATATCCCTTTCTTTTTTTAAAAAAATTGTAGTAAAATATACATAACATAAAACTATTTTA